TTTCTCTAAACTCAGCCTCTCTAAAGATAATGGCTTTTCACAGAAGCCTAAATGTAATGCTTTCTTCATTCCCTTCCCTTTCCAGTCTTTAAGTGTCTTTTAGAAACATACTCCATTTGCATATAAACGTTGATAGAAATCCAGAAAGAGTCCTGTTTTCTCCCCTGTGGTTAAGTAGTGACAGTTGATCTACCGAATACCTTCCTTCCTTAAAAACAATGAGATTAGGTAATTACAGCAAATGTGGTCATTAGCCTCATCTGCTCTTATTATCTTATGTATTTGTTACTGTGAGAGCCAGAAGCTCTGAGGATAAGCCAGACTCTCCATATTTTAAAAAGACAGGATTTTTCCACAGTAAAAACATGTTACTTACCATGGTCACTGATGGAATCCACAGTTTGATCCACCATGACTTTTGCTTATTGGTGAAATTGGTTTTCTAAAATTTGGTGAACAGTAAATAGTCTGTGTACTTGGATAGTACTTACGCTAATATAGGAAAGTTTAATCGTGGCTTTTCTCCAGTTGAATTGGAAAGAGTGCAGCGGGGAAGTCCCCTGCAGGGTGGAAATAGTAGTAGTTGAACATGAGTGACCTTTTTGGTTGACTGACTGCCCTTCCTATGAAGCTGCCGCAATATCTTTACCCTGTCAGGATTACTTCCTGCCTCAGCCTGAATAATTTAAGTAGATGCAAGATTGGTGTTGGATATCTCCTTGGGAAAATTCCATTCTCTTGAATTTAACTAACAGAATACCTCTTTCCATTTCTTTCAGTGTCTTCCAGTTTTGACCTCAGAAGGAACTAAGCAATATTTCTCACCCAACAGGCTCATTGCTCATCTTCTCTGGGCCTAACAATCCTGTGTTCCCTCAGTCATTTCTTTTAGGAAGGTTTCAGGTGCCTCATTATTCTATAATGTCCTTAAAAACTGACATCCCATGTTTTAAGCATCTGGTATGCAGTGTAAGTAGTGTGATATTTTGCATTCATTTCACTCAGTCACCCTGCTTTTAGGAATTTGGCCACAAGGATGTGTAATAAGTATTTTACTGTGTATCCCAGTGAAAAATTGAAACCAATGGGGGATTGGTTAAATTATGGAACATCTGTTCCGTGCAGTCATTAAAATGATATGGTAGCAAGAATGTTGACTGACATAAAGTAGTAAGTGAAAAAAGCAAGTGAGAAAACAGTATGTACAGTTTAATTTTTTTTGTTTTATCTTGGTAAATAATTTTAGTCAATATGTACACATGTAATCTATAAAGCATACATACATATATACACATGTTTGTGTGTATATATGTATGTATGCTTTGACAAATGAAGAGGTGGTGTAGGCACAGGTGGGAGGGGCAACTAATCCACACTGAGGGATGAAAGCAGACTTGAAGGACAGGGATTAGCCAGGTGCAGGTGAGATTGGTGAGCAGTGTGCTCCACAGTGAAAGTGGAAGGGCCAGAGATGAGAAGTGGCATGAATCAGGGATGGATGCTCAGGAAATAAGGCTTATCTATATTTTCTCCAGGAAATGTGTATTAGTCTGTAATAAACAAACAAAAAAGGTACCTAGAAAGCCCGCCTCTTCTGAAGAAGAAAGTCAGGGACCCAGTGGGGATAAGAAAATGCTCTGTTGGTTTAAGGCTGTGGATTTTGGGCTCTTAATGAGATTAAGGCCAGGGAGGCTTTCCTAGGTTGGCTGGATGGGCTGGGGCTGGGTGTCTCTGGTGAAGCGGATGAATTCCAGATAGGTAATTTAATTTTCAGAGGTGCTGCACAAATGCCTTTGCTTCCTGCTACTGGTTAGAGCAAAACAAGCATGTGATTTATGTAAAAATACATGAATATTAGTTTTTATCAAAACTGCAGAAGAAACAGTATATGCTTCCTGCATAGCCTCTTTGTGGAATAAAATTAAGAAAATCGGTATTCTTTACAAATGACTAGTCACAGTGAAACTGGTCTGCTGAACCTACCCTTTGTAGATAGCATTAATAGATCACCCTCTCCCACATGACTCCAACCAAAACAGAAAGGATGATTTACATAGGAAAATGCCAGCTGAATTAAACAAGGATGGCCCTGGACTCTGCTGCCGGGATTCTTAAGATGGCACAAGCTGGGCTATGAAAGCCGTGGCTTCCTCCCTTCTTCTCTGTTTCTGGGCTGTGTTCCCCTCTGCATTTCTTGCTGGGTAGTTTTGGAGGGAAGGGAATGCCCTCTCCTACATAAGCTTCTTCTGCAGGTGCAGAGATGGAATGGACCTAAGTGTTCTGAGGTCTTCCAGGAGATGGGATTTCAGTCTGCAGAGTACCCATCCCCCTTGGCTGTGTGGTGTCCCAGTTCTGGAAGTTGAGATTTAGACCAAGATTATTGTCTTAAAATCTTGGATATGATTCCTGCCAGGATGACTTGTAAAAAATTTTGTGCCAGAAACTGAGCTGACTTTGGTTGTGGGCTGCAGGCTGATTCCAACTCTGGGAATTAGTTCTCATTTTCTGTGCCTCGTTCATAGTCTGACTCGTCTTCTCACGGCTGCCTGCCCAGCCCCTTTGTGAGAATGGGAACACTCATAAGAGTGAATATGAGGCCTTCACATCCTTTGGGATGTGGGTATTTTAGTACCAAGGCTAACATGCACATTTTCAGTGACACAGTTGCTAGAATAGTTCTATAATAAGCTGCTGGTCTCAGAGACCCTTCTGCATGGGTCCCATTGATGGGACCCATCAATGGGGCTTGTGACCGTAGGAGTTGGAATTTTAGAGGATTCCTATCATCCTCACTCCTAATCCAGTAACTCCCTGGCAGTGCCCATCACCAGCCTCACATCTCCTTGTGCCAGTCATGAGCGCGGTGAGCCTCTCTGGTACACTTACACATTAGAAAAAGTCTGAAGTCTTGGGAGCAAACCTTTTCTTCCCCTTAGGTGAATATTAGATCTGCTGTTCTTCACTACACAAAAGCGATTCCTTAACACAAGCCGCAGCTGGCACTCCGATTCAGCTTGCAAAAAGGTGACTTTTGGGTTATTTTTATTTTAATATTTTTCGTAAAGTTTTATTTTCTTCTTAATACCCTAAGCCCTGAAAGGGAGTTTGTATTGTAAAATTTTGTAGTAAGTCACTTTTAACCACATGAACTTGGGGAAAATTTCCACATGTGGACCAGGTCCCTGGATTGTATTGCCAGAGGCGTGGCTTTTGGCATCAACTTTTATTTAGTTTGGATGGCTATTTCCCGGAGAAATCAATTTAACCTAACAACTTTTCAGAGCTCATTCTACATATGCACCCCTACTTTTCTGGATTAAAAAAACCCCAAAACACTTGTATGTCTGTTTAGATTTTTAAAAAACTAATCTTATTGAAGTAAAATTTCGGCATGCAACCATTTCAGGTGTATGCTGTGATAATTTATGATAACTGCACACACCTGGGTATTACCATCACATCAAGCTGTGCACCTCCTGTCACCCGAGAAAACTCCCTTGTGCTCCTGCCCTGAGCCTCCATGACAAAACACCGTCCTGCTTTCTCGCACTGAAGATCAGCATTTCCTGTTGTAGGTGCCATTTAGATGGAAACACTTCTGTGTCTACATCCCTTCGCTTTGCTTTGAGATTCATCCAGGCTGTGTGTATCGTTTGTTCCTTCCTGCTGTGGTTGAGTAGTCTCTTCTCTGTCTTTCCGTGCTCTTCCTGTGACTTGCTCATTGTCTTTCTCTTTTTCTTCCCTGTAAGGCTGGCCTGGTCCTTCTGTTATTCCCTGTTTTCTTTTTCTCAAGTGGGCATTAACTCTTTTACACACAATGAAATAACCTAGTAACTGAGAGATGATCCGGCCAGATTCTGCTCTTACCGTTACCCCTCACCACCCCGTTAGAGGACAAAACAAGCCAACGAACTGATAGACCCAAGCCTTGTTGTTCAAAGTGCCGGTGTTCTCTGTTCAGCATCTTAACCATAAACCAAGCTGCAGCCTCCAGTTTCAGAATAGTGCCTTCTGTAAAGCCTATGGAGTTTTATGTTGTAACAACTCCAGAGACTTCTGTAAAGTCTATGGTGTTCGGTTTATTTTGCTCATTTTTAAACTATCTTCTTAGAAAAGAATTCAATGCTGTTAATGAATTGCTGCTGGAGCCCTTTTGTACATTAGAGTAAGCAGTGGGCACTTCTCTGCTTCCAGATCTCCTTTTGATGGTTAGGAAGAATATGCTGACTTAGAATATAGCAAGGAGCTGTGGTACGCCAAGGAAACAGAAAAATCTCGAATGCTTTCCAGCAGTCAGTTGTCATGGATGAGAAAGTCCCATTCTATTTGCTGTGTGTGTGCCTGAGTGTGTACACTGTAATATCTTGGTTTTAGATGTATGAAGGAGGGACATGGTCTTCTTGCATTTGTGTGTCTTCAGTGGTGACTTCCCATTTATTGGTGAAGGGTGCCAGCTTTTCTGGGAAGTCTGCCAACACTGAGCTGAGCCAGGCTTGCTGTGTTCACCTCTAAGCAGGCGCAGGGTGCTGGTGCAGCAGCAGCATGCTGTCCTTGTGAGCACTGTGGAATTTGCAGCATGCCGTACAGACTCAGAAATGGTGGATTTTTCTTGTGGCATTAGTTTTTTGATTTGCAAATCTGGAAAAGAACAGGAAGTCTTGGTGGAGACACTCTGGCTGATGTTATAGAAACTTGTTGACCTAACTACATTTTAACAACCAATTATTAAAATACGAGTTTCTTCTCACTTGGGGAGATTTTCTCCGATCTTAAATACGTTTGTCATCTAAACCTCTTGTCCTAGTGGCAGGGGATCCCTGCCCTGGGCCTAGGAGTGTAGACATTGGTAATTATCTTTGGCCTGTCTCTCAGCAAATATCCTCTGCTGGCCCATGGCCGCCCAGAAGCTCTCATGGAGATGCTGCTTTTGTTTTTCTTTCTTCAACTGGGGAGAAAACACTACATCTGGACCTAAGGCCCACGTGTCCTGAGGTAAGTCCTTCTAATTCTGGGTTGCCGTGAATTGAGTGCTGCTGTTCATAGATAAGGTCAAGGGATGGCCTTAAGGTGCTCAGGTAGTGACTGGAAGAGGCTGTTTCAAATTAGTCTTGATCCACTCTGCAGGTTGCTATGGCTCCCTACACGGCTCAGGTTTCCCCCCACTCCTGTGCTCTCCTGCTCTGATTTCTATCAGATTACCCATTCATTTATAACATTTGCCACTACTTCAGATACCTTATATGTTTACATGGTTTTGGTTTTCTCTGCTAGAATATAAAGTAATAATGATTAAAAAATCGGAAGAACCAACATCTTTTTGTTCTTGAGGTGAATTTTTTGGCTCATAAATTTCCCTCAAGTACCTGGAACAGTGCCTGGCATGTGGTACTTAATAAGTATTTGCTGAAAGAATGAATAATAAGTAAATAACATTTTGAAATTTCTGTCATTCAAATTGTGACTTGTGGTGGCTTTGTTTTAATAAATGACATTGGGAGCTATTTATAAATCATAAATTAGACATAGTTTTATCACAGTTTGGTGCTTGTGTGTAGAAGGAGACAGAACCCTGGAGATGTAGTTGAGGCCTCTTGAGTGAAAGGAGAGAGGAAACTTGGATTGGAACAGTGTCACAGACAACCCCTGGTACATAATGCCAGAGGTAGACCCTATAGGTTGGGGAAGATTTGGGGACTATAATGAATGGGCAGTAATAATTAGTGAATTTTTTTAATAAATTGCTTTCATTACTCTAGGTTTCCTGAGTGCTTGGTTTAAACCAAAAAATATGCACATACTTTGCCTGGTGTGTTTGTTTGGGCTTGCCAGTATAGAAAAGCCTTATAGAGGAAACAGAAGAATGATCCTTTCAGCAGCATATATGCTTACATTGGAACAATGCAGAGAAGATAAGCATGGCCTGTATGCAAGGATGACGCGGAAATTTGTGAAGCGTTCCATATTTTTATTTATTGGAAAATCAGGTTTGGATTATGCAATTTCAAGGAATATAGCATCTTCAGCAATAAGTTTTGAATTAGATTTTGCCTTAGAAATGTTTTTTACATAATACCTATATTAATTTAAAAAAGGAAATAGAGGAGCAGCAGCATGCTTGTCTAAAAATTGAATTGATTCTGCCAGAAGGAAGAGTTTAGATGTGTTTTTTTTTTTTTTTTTTTTGGAGACAGTTTTGCTCTTGTTACCCAGGCTGGACTGCAATGGCACGATCTTGGCTCACGGCAACCTCCGCCTCCTGTGTTCTGGCAATTCTCCTGCCTCAGCCACCTGAGTAGCTGGGATTACAGGAACGTGCCACCATGCCCAGCTAATTTTTGTATTTTTAGTAGAGACGGGGTTTCACCATGTTGACCAGGATTGTCTCGATCTCTTGACCTCATGATCCACCCACCTCGGCCTCCCAAAGTGCTGGGATTACAGGCGTGAGCCACCGCACCTGGCTAGATGTGTTTTTATTGCACACAACTTCCTTCAGATGCCAGGTAGTAGACAATCTACAGGGCTAGGGATGATGGGAGAGAGAGAGCTGTGTCCCTTTACAGTGCTGTTTGAACCCATTTTTATAGCAAGGTTGATAACCACCTGTGCCACCTGGTTTTCCAAGATGGTAGGAATGATTATGTGACCTGTTGCCTTGTCTTGGAGAGCTCTAGACTCGCTCATGTAGCTTTAATCTTTAATGTGGGAATCATAGGGCAGTTAATAAACCATAGGGTCAAGTGTGTAGTCTGCCATTTTAACTCAGAAAAGAGTAGTCGCGTATCTAGAGTGTGACCTTAATAATTGAGATTAGTTACAGTCAAATAAGTGAAGTATCTTCAGCTGCTTCAAGTCAGTTTTAGGCTGCAAATCCCCAGATATTGTGGTTGTCCTGAATTAGTGAAATAAGTAGTTGTTTCACCCAAATCTGTCTGAGGTTTTTTCAATTTGAGAGTTTGGTTAAAATTGTTGGTGGAACTGGGAAAGTACATTAATGAAGGAAGCAAATCCTGGAGTGTGTGCTCCCCGGGCCCAGTGTGCCGTCCACACATTTAGTGCGGCCATTACTGACTTCAGAAATGAGTTTCCTGGGCTTCTAGATTTATGAAAGAAGTAAGTGATGACTTCAGAATTATTTCTGTCTTCAGATTGAGTCCCCAGCGACTGAGTGTGTACACTGGGACCAGGATTAGAACATAGTTTACATGGGTCCTGCTTCCTGTTTCATCCCGCAAATGTTCTCTTAAGTGTTTTCTCAACTAATACGGAAAGTACCACTGAAGTGGGACTTGTATACAGTTTTGATTCTAATAAGGGGTCTGCTTGCTTGAAAACATATGTCAAACACAGATTCTGTGCTTTTAAAAAAATTATTTATTTTTTTTGAGATGGAGTCTCAGTCCGTTTCTTAGGCTGGAGTGTAGTGGCACGATCTCAGCTCACTGCAACCTCCGCCTCCCGGGTTCAAGTGATTGTCCTGCCTCAGTCTCCAGAACAACTGGGATTACAGGCACACATATTTTTATTAGAGATGGGGTTTTATGAACTCCTGAACTCAAGGTCTCTAACTCCTGACCTTAAGTGGTCTGCCCACTTTGACCTCCCAAAGTGCTGGGATTACAGATGTCAGCCACCGCATTTGGCCCACAGCTATTGTTTTTAACAGAGCTTTGAAAGCAGAATGAATTGGTTAAGAGGATGGCTACCCAGACACACTGGGTTTGAATCTCAGCTCCCTGCGGAATGACCTTGGGCAAGTCATTTAGCAAGGCTGTGCCTCAAGTTGCTTGTGTAAAATGGGGATAATAGTACTTTTGTTATAGAGTTGCTGTTGGGTTTCAATGAGTATGTGTTTGATCTAGAATGAATCTCTTGTAGACAGTTGTGAGTATTATGGGTTGTGTTTTGTGTGTTTCTCGTCCTATCAGTTATTTATAATTAGAAATGGTACTTTGTTGCATGTGGTTAATTTGATTTTTATCAATTTAGCAGTAGAATTTTTTTCTTCAGAAATAATTTCTTCCTGTCCTTCTGTGAAATCCCCTTGATAAAGGGGTAAGAACCAGCTCTGAGGACCAGTTGAAAAATAATTGATCTGAAACATAACAGACACTGTCAACATGTCAGTTTTTTCCATTTTGCAGGAAAATGCAGGTCTCATTTAGGATAATAGTTTGATTTCCTGAGATGGATATAGGTTTGAGTAACTGAGAGTCATTTAAAAGTGATGCATAGGTTTGCAGGTAGAAATACACTTTTGTTTGAAATCTGGGGTATTCAGTAAACATTGTGGTAAGAGTAATTTCCCCCAAAACTCCGTAGGAAATTTTTACCTTTGACTTCAGTAAACCTGGAGTTTTGCCTCTTGAAGTTAAAGTGAGGTTGAACCTGAGTGCTTACCATGTAACTGATGGGTCCATAATCCACCACCAGAAGGTGCCCTCCATGTCTTGAAGATGCTTGTTCTGAAATGTCTTCTTGGGGTTTAGTTGGAATTTCTCTTGCTGAGATTTTCGAATCTCAGAAAATACCACGGCTGCCCTTGTGTTTGTTTTAGCTGCACACCCTTCATCTTCAGGGTGGATGCACCCTTGGGTGGCGTTGCACGCAGCTGGAGTATGGAGAGCCGATTGAGGGCAGAGTTGGGAGACGCTGATCCCTCCAGGGTTTGTTTCTTTAACACCAGACCTGCTCCCACAAGACTGGTGTATTTAGGCCTCCCGTCTTCTGCCGTTCTTGTTGCTGGGCAGCAGGGCCTGCAAGTGCCAGCAGATGAGGTGAGGACAGACAGGGAGGTACGTCAGTCTGTTTGCTCTGGCGCTGAGGTTCACTGAAGTTGCTGGATTTGAGTTTGTTCCAGATTAGTGAATATGTCAGCTGTGAGAATAAGAATGATTAAGCAAATAGGACTTCTGCCTTTGTATTTAAACTTCAAAGAGAAAGCTGAACTTCAAGGCCCAGCTGGAGGACACGTGGATCCAGCCAGCATATTACATGTAGGCAATTGGAGAAGGACAGGGAGACAGTAGGGGAGGTGCAGTGGGATGAGGAACACAGTTGTCTACATGAAACAGGCAGGACTTTGTTTTCGGGCACCTGGAATGCTCTCCATTTCCAGCAAGAACTTCAGGTTTTGTTGTTGTTTTGCTTTGGTGATAGTGGTTGTTGCCACCTGGAGCAAAGCTGTCTTTGTAGCCCACAACTGCACCGTTTCTGGTAGTGAGCAGGCTGGGAACCACACACTCTTGTTCTGACATTGGCTGGAGGCACCCCCCTCCTTTTTCCTTGCAAGGTGTCTCAGAGGATTGTCATTTGAGGCATGCCGGATTCACGGGTGTGACTGTGTCAGGACTGGCTTGTCTCATTAAAAAACGTTTTTTGGATCAGAAACAATGAGGGGTGGGAAAGGCAACAAAAGCCTCTCGAGATTCCTGAATTGCTCAGGATGTTATAAACAGTAAGTGCCTCTTTTGATCTTGGAGGGTGGTGTCGGGTAGGCGAGAAAGGGGATGGTGGTTATTGGGAAGAGGGCTGGAGCCAGACAGCCATAATGGCTTGTCCACAGGCTGCTGTGAATCCCAGTGGCAAAGAGCTCTGTACTTCCCGCTAATTTCGGTTTTCTTTACTGTGGCTGGCTTTATTAAAAGGGCATAAGGAAGCAGCCTAGACTTCAGTCCAATAAGTTTTCTAGGGTAACAGATGAAAAATAAATTTGGACCTTTTGCAGTTACAGAGAAAGTAAGTAGGATAGCTAGCTTTTATAGCTTATTTACTTTCTTGAGAGAGAGAACGCTGTCTGTCTGTCTCTCATATGTATATTTCATGCTTGGAATGCTGTAAATTATCAAAGAGATTCATTAGACAAGCACAGATGTTTCATTCTGTGTTGAAACATGGCAAGGTTTGAAGTTGGTGGACCAATGAGAAGCTGTGCTGCCTTGAACAGTAATTTTAAAAGGATGGCTTTGAAATAATCAGCATATCTTTTGTAACTTTTTCTTCAATGTGGTTCTCCAGAGGCCATTTTGTATCTGAGTGACATGGAATGGAATTTCCCTGTTTTTTTTCCTGTTTTTTTTTGGTGGTGGTGGTGGTTGTTTGTTGTTTTTTTTTCCGGGGGTGGGGGGACGACAGTCTCCCTTAAGCCAGTTGCCCATGCTGGAGTGCAGTGGTGTGATCTCAGCTCAGAACAACCCCTGCCTCTTGTGTTCAAGTGATTCTTGTGCCTCAACCTCCTGAGTAGCTGCGACAAGTGTACACCACTGTGCCTTGCTATATTGTGTGTGTGTGTGTGTGTGTGTGTGTGTGTGTGTGTGTGTGTTTTAGTAGAGATGGGGTTCACCATGTTGGCCAGGTTGGTCTTGAACTCCCGGCTTCAAGTTATCCACCTGCTTCAAAAGTGCTTGGTTTACAGGCCTCAGCCACTGCATGTGGTCTGTCCCTAGTTTCTGGGACAAAATTAGGAAATGAGATCTGTGCTTGAGGGAGAAGCAGAAAAGTGTAACCTAAGGATGGCCCTTTGAGTTTATTTGATGAAAAACTACCTAATCAACAGTTGCAGATTGTGTAAATAAAAAAAAAATAGTGGTGGGTACTTCTTAAATTATGCAAATTTGATGCAGTCATCAAGGCTTCTTGCTTCACTGCATCATTTAGCTTTTGATTTCGGAGAAGTTCAGCCCCTCGACTCTTTCCTTATTTGTACTGAGATACTTCATTCATACTCTTATTAGGGAGTGTATCTACAAGTAATTTTAAGTAGACAAGGTTATATTAGTAGAACATAGTTACTTTGAGCTTGCCGATTTCTTTTGTTGTTTTACTAGTATGTTTCAAATACTTATTTTTATTTTTTATTTTTTAAAATTTTTTATTGCATTTTAGGTTTTGGGGTACATGTGCAGAACATGCAAGACAATTGCATAGGTACACACATGGCAGTGTGTTTTGCTTCCTTTCTCCCCTTCACCCACATTTGGCATTTCTCCCCAGGCTATCCCTCCCCACCTCCCCCTGTTTCAAATATTTAGCATGGTGAGCTGAATAGCTTCTGATCTGTGCAAATCGGCATCCAACAAAAGCTGACTAGAAGGGACTGTGGTTATTATGGAAGCTTGTGAAGAGAACGGGAAATACGTTACTGTGTTAATGTCCTCTACAATTCCAGTGACTTAGCATTAGTTAAGCTACAGATAAGGTGTTGGTTGTAAGAGAGTAATTCAAGTTAGATTAACTCTGTTTCTTTTCAGTCATAACCAGTTGAGAGGAGGAAGAGTTTACATTTTATTAGGTAGTTCAGAGAATTTAAGTGTGAGAATAGAAAAATGTATTTAAGAAATTCAGTGATTGTACTTTACACAAATTAGAGTGGATTGGTAGCTTTGGGGGGGACTCTCATATAAGTGGGTTGAAGTATAAGGTGTAATGATGGCTGCTCATTATCAAAAGGGTACATAAATTTGATTTGTAGGTTATTTTGAAACCTAATATTCTTTAAATTGACCTGGTATTCATTAAAATTATAAAGAAGATGAACCTGTATAACTAATGTCACAAATGTTTTCTTTCAAGAATCCTTCTTTAGTATCTAGATGTTACTCAGGAAGGATTATGTAAGAATTAATTACTATATTTCATTTGTGGAGTTAACCATATGGTCTCTAATTTATGTATATTGCATATGTAAATAAAACCAATAAGGAGCAATAGCCAGGGCCTTGCAAGAATATGTGTATGTGTTCCCCGCGTCTCGGGCGTCTCCCGCCCCCCTCCCCGGTCTCCCGGTCCCCGGGTCTCCCGCCCCCCTCCCCGGTCTCCCGGTCCCCGGGTCTCCCGCCCCCCTCCCCGGTCTCCCGGTCCCCGGGTCTCCCGCCCCCCTCCCCGGTCTCCCGGTCCCCGGGTCTCCCGCCCCCCTCCCCGGTCTCCCGGTCCCCGGGTCTCCCGCCCCCCTCCCCGGTCTCCCATCTCCCTCTCCCATCTCCCGTCTCCCTCCTCGGTCTCCGGTCTTTCGTCTCAGGTCTCCCGTTTCCCGTCTCCCTCCCCGGTCTCCGGTCTTTCGTCTCAGGTCTCCCGTTTCCCGTCTCCCTCCCCGGTCTCCTGCCTCCCGTTTCCCGTCTCCCTCCTCGGTCTCCGGTCTCTTGTCTCCCTCCTCGGTCTCCGGTCTCTTGTCTCCCTCCTCGGTCTCCGGTCTCTTGTCTCCCTCCTCGGTCTCCGGTCTCTTGTCTCCCTCCTCGGTCTCCGGTCTCTTGTCTCCCTCCTCGGTCTCCGGTCTCTTGTCTCCCTCCTCGGTCTCCGGTCTCTTGTCTCCCTCCTCGGTCTCCGGTCTCCCGTCTCCCTCCCCGGTCTCCGGTCTCCCGTCTCCCTCCCCGGTCTCCGGTCTCCCGTCTCCCTCCCCGGTCTCCGGTCTCCCGTCTCCCTCCCCGGTCTCCGGTCTCCCTCCCCGGTCTCCGGTCTCCGGTCTCCCTCCCCGGTCTCCGGTCTCCGGTCTCCCTCCCCGGTCTCCGGTCTCCCTCCTCTGTCTCCGGTCTCCGGTCTTTCTCCTCTGTCTCCGGTCTCCGGTCTGTCTCCGGTCTCCCGTCTCCCTCCTCTGTCTCCGGTCTCCCGTCTCCCTCCTCTGTCTCCGGTCTCCCGTCTCCCTCCTCTGTCTCCGGTCTCCGGTCTCCCGTCTCCCTCCTCTGTCTCCGGTCTCCGGTCTCCCGTCTCCCTCCTCTGTCTCCGGTCTCCGGTCTCCCGTCTCCCTCCTCTGTCTCCGGTCTCCCGTCTCCCTCCCCTGTCTCCGGTCTCCGGCCTCCCGTCTTTCTCCCCGGCCTCCCGTCTTTCTCCCCGGCCTCCCGTCTTTCTCCCCGGCCTCCCGTCTTTCTCCCCGGCCTCCCGTCTTTCTCCCCGGCCTCCCGTCTTTCTCCCCGGCCTCCCGTCTTTCTCCCCGGCCTCCCGTCTTTCTCCCCGGCCTCCCGTCTTTCTCCCCGGCCTCCCGTCTTTCTCCCCGGCCTCCCGTCTTTCTCCCCGGGCTCCGTCTTTCTCCCCGGCCCTCCCGTCTTTCTCCCCGGCCTCCCGTCTTTCTCCCCGGCCTCCCGTCTTTCTCCCCGGCCTCCCGTCTTTCTCCCCGGCCTCCCGTCTTTCTCCCCGGCCTCCCGTCTTTCTCCCCGGCCTCCCGTCTTTCTCCCCGGCCTCCCGTCTTTCTCCCCGGCCTCCCGTCTTTCTCCCCGGCCTCCCGTCTTTCTCCCCGGCCTCCCGTCTCCCCCCTCGGCCTCTGGCCTCCGGTCTCCCGTCTCTCTCCCCGGTCTACCGTCCCCGGTCTCCCGTCTCTCTCCCCGGTCTACCGTCCCCGGTCTCCCGTCTCTCTCCCCGGTCTACCGTCCCCGGTCTCCCGTCTCTCTCCCCGGTCTACCGTCCCCGGTCTCCCGTCTCTCTCCCCGGTCTCCGGCCTCCGGTCTCCCGTCTCCCCCCTCGGTCTCCGGCCTCCGGTCTCCCGTCTCCCCCCTCGGTCTCCGGCCTCCGGTCTCCCGTCTCCCCCCTCGGTCTCCGGCCTCCGGTCTCCGGCCTCCCCCCTCGGTCTCCGGTCTCCCCCCTCGGTCTCCGGTCTCCCCCCTCGGTCTCCGGTCTCCGGTCTGCCGTCTTCCTCCTCGGTCTCCGGTGTCCGGTCTCCCTTCCCGGGTCTCCCTCTGTCTCCCTCCTCGGTCTCCCATCTCCCTCCTCCCCCTCTGTGTGTGTGTTTCTGAGAGAGAGAAACTTGCATATGAAATATGACCTGCAGTTTGTAGTAGTTTTGTGATATTGTTGCATTTATTCATTTTCTTTGGGAGTTTTATCAAATGGTAGTATTCTAATTTGGGGATGGGAGGCAGTGTATCATATGATTTTATTACTACAAGTAGTATTTTGCAGTAGTTAGTATGGTGTAAGCAGATGGAAAATGCCAGGAACTTAAAAGAATTTTAGGAAGAAAATAACTAGATCTGTGCAAGAATTCAACCAGTGCGATTACTCAGGGGTGTCAATTACAAAACAATTGGCCTGTGCCAATTTATTAAGTTTTAATAGCGTGATCATATACCTTGTGGGGATAAAGAGGATGTCATTTTTTTACACCATGAAGAAAGTAATGAAGTTATTAGTTGTTTGTGAGTTGTCCACCATGAACTACGGCTAACTGAACTAATGAATTAACATTAGTGTTTTGGAATATTAATTATGGTACAGTTTGTGAATGGGAACCTGCAATTCACATTATGTTTGACCAGGATTTTTTTGTCTTTGGAGACAGTTTTGCTTTGTCACCAGGCGCCAGGCTGGAGTGCAGTGGTGTGATCTTGGCTCACTACAACCTCTGCCTCCCAGGTTAAAGCAATTCTCCTCCCTCAGCCACCGGAGTAGCTGAGACTACAGGTGCACGCACCACACTGCTCAGCTAATTTTGTATTTTTTAGTAGATGGGGTTTTCACCATGTTGGCCAGGAT